TCAGCACGTCACTTTTTCTAGAAGTTTTATGCCATTTTCTATATATAGGATGTATAAAAATTGTTAAATGTTGTTATTTTATTTTGAAAATGCATAACTTAGTTGGTTTTTAGTAGAACTATCGGGAACTGTTGCTAAAAGTGCAAATATTATTTTTTTTCTTGTACTTTAGAGGAAATCTAACGTGTCAGATTCGCGTAGTTAGCACGCCATATATTTAATTTTAGTTTTTTCATATTAAAACTGCGGAACTATTTTTTATTTCTAGGTATAACTGTAGAACTATGAAAAGTGCTACTGGAACTGTTGTAATTTTTTTGATATCGACAAAATGTCATGCCAGCTTCACAGATCCGCCTTAGCCGCGGTTGCTTTTGGTTAGATAACGAAAAAACGCCTCTGTTTAATCCAACATGGCAAACATTAACAATATTGTAAGTATATACTTACAATGTAATTCTTCAAAAGAGCTTCCTCACTTCTGATTTTGATGAAATTAGGATTATTCAACTCGTTTTGCGTAAAATGAAAGAATCTAGTAGAATAATTTCATCAAAATCGGAGGTGAGGAAGCTGTTCTGAAGAATTACTGTATGTAATATTTTAAAATATTTTAAAATAAAAAATTTTTTAATGTTACGTAACTTTTGAAGGATAAGAAATGTGGATACTGTGGATGGTTTTAAAATTATGTTGCTGCGACAAACTTTCATACATTTTTTTATTATAGTAAAAGAAACCTGTAAATTTTTTTATTAATCCGCATATCACGATCAGAACTTTACTAGAAGGAATAATTTCGCACACAGCTAATAGGCAGTTTGAATATTTGAATATAAACGTTATAACAGTTATCTCCGTTTTTTTTTCCGTTTTCTCCGTTCCGCAGAAATATTTTTCCTATGTTCACATGGTGCAGAATTAACAGAAGCGTAAAACAGTCCTATCCAATGGAATATACTCTTTAGATAGATAAGTATAAAATGTCCGCTGTACGAGTTAATATTATATTAGTCGATAAAATTTCCGCTTCCGCGAGATCCGCTTCATGTGAACATAGGAAAAATAAATCTGCGAAATGAAAATAACGGAATGAAGCAACGACCAATCACATCAATTTCGCCAATTCCGCATTTCCGCAGATCCGCTCCATCTGAGTGCACTCTTAGGGCGGGTTCACACCTTGACGGAAAAACGGAAAGCGGAAAAGCAGTAGCCAATCAGGTAGTCGACTTTCTGTTAGTTTTGTACTATTTACTACCAGCACGAGTTTTGATCGGTTAACTGCTCTTCCGCTTTCCGCTTTTCCGTCAAGGTGTGAACCCTCCCTCTTAAGGTACCATTTCATGCTGACGCTTGACGCTCATTTTTAGCGTCAAAATAGGTCACGTGATTAAAATTGACACTTGCTATTCGTCAATTCTTATCACGTGGTCTGTTTAGACGCTGAAAATGAGCGTCAAGCGTCAGCATGAAAAGATATGTACCTTTACTCTTACTTCATGGTTGAAATCAAGTACAGAGCATGGTCGAAGTAACAAGGTCTGCTATTGCGCAGCCTTTTATATCTAGCCAATAGCAAGCAAGACTGAATTCCGCCATATTGCGCGCATATATATGAAATATATTTAAAAATGATTTTGTGTGCAGACACATACACATAAAAAATGGCGGAATTCAGTCCTGCGCAGAACCGGACGAATATTTGTCATGGATACGAGCAGACCTTGTTACTTCGACCATGGTACAGAGTATAATCGAAGAGCCACGATGATCGAAAGTTTTTGTGCTCAGTAACGGAAATAATTTGATTTTTTGGATACCCTAGATCAACCGTTTATGACGTTGTGGCCAAATTTAGGGCTTTAGAAGAATGTCCCTGTTCCCAGATAACCAAACCTGCTAAAAGCACGCATTGCAAATTTATGCTACATATTATAATGGCAAAAATCGAGCAGCAATCGAACACGGTTTACCGTTTCAGCGCTAACAGAAATACAGCAAAAATAGAGCAGACCTGCGTCATAATACACTAGCAAAAATTCTGTAAAAATTCATGAAACGTTACCGAAATAAAGCAAGCAGAATTCGAGCATTACATGCTGGCAAAATAAATTAACAAAAAATAGGTCAAAACTTAATATAAAACATGACTACATGTTAAATCAGCAAAATGTTTAAAATCTGGCACACTTATTGTTATATTATAACAGCAAAAAGGTGGCAAAAATACCGCACGCCCTAACATAATTAAGTACTGACAGTAAAAACGCAGCAAAAATCGAGCACAGCCTGCCGATACGTCGTGACGTTTTTGCTATCAGTACTTGATTATGTCGTGCTGTATTTTTACTGCGTTTTCGCTGTCACGACGTGATAGTAAATAATGATTGATTTTTGTTATTTTGTATTTCTATTGTTGTGTTAAGTTGACAGGATAAGCTGTTAGAAACTAAGCTTAATGAAGAAGCAGCAGCTTGATTGATATCTGCTGTAACATCATGATCAAGTTTGTTAGCATACTGCTAGCATTTTGCTATCTGGGTTGTTGCTAGAACAAAATTTCCGGCCAATGTTTATGTGCTAGGTGTCGTGTCCAGTAACGGTGAAGTCATGCCACATTTCTTTAAAAAAAAGGGAAACTGTCACAAAAGAAATGTATTTGCGCATTCTAATGGATATGATGCTATGGTAATGAAGCTGTGGACGGAAACTGTGGCGTCCGGAAGATCATGTTTTTCAACAGGACGGTGCATCGGCTCATACAAGTCATTTGATTCAAAATTGGCTCTCAGACAATGTCGATATGTTTTGGTCTAAGGAATCCAGAGGCCCTATTCCGTAACTCGTTAAGCAGTTAACGACATCGTTGCGCAGCTTTTTATACCATAAGATATCTGCGCAACGATGTCGTTAACTGCCTTAAGGCGATGCTGGAGTCCTGTTTTATCATTACTTATTTTATTAGTTAAAGACTCGTTTCTCTTAATTGCATTTACGGATGGAAAAATCCTTCTGCATAACTAAAGTATCGACAAAAACGGAGGATGCTAGCTACATTTCAATACGAAAAACGGAAAAAAATTAAAAATTTACAGTTTCGTTATCGGTAATTTACCATTTTTGCAGTTCAATGAAAATATCTTTTTTGGTGCTTTCAATCTCAATTCTGTAAATTCAGTGTTGTTTATTCACGTAATACGCCGGGTGATGAGACCTCATTTAGTCCATATAAGCAGTAAAACTTGTTTATCAAGGAAATATGTTCGTCAGGTGACACATCTACGAGTTGAAAAAAATGTAAGTTTTTAACTTTTTTTCGATTTTAGCATATAATTCATCACATCACTAACTAATTTTGTGTCTATATTAATCCTGTAAAGGGATTTCTCATTCCGTTCAGTCGTTTCGGAGATTTTCTTAAGACTGTAAGTATCCACAATTTCGTGGGTCCAGCATCCCCTTAACGAGTTACAGAATACAGGCTGACCTCTCAACAACCCAGATTTAAATCCTTCGAACTACTACGTATGGAGCGTAGTTGAAAGGGTCACTAACAAGTTTCGGCATCCTAATGTGACGTCATTAAGGACCGCTATTGAGGCAGCATTCGTCGACATGGACAGCGCTATATATTACAGCGTGCGTGTGAACGCTTCAGACCGAGAATAGAGGCCATCATTCAAGCTAATGGGGGATATATCGAATTATGCTCTATAGAGATCCCCCACGTGCTACATAAAAGGATTTTTTGTAATATTTAATTTTTCATTAAAAACATTTTGTTCAAAGAAATTGTTTGATTTGTCCGGATTTTGGTGACGCAACCTATATATATATATATATATACACACACGCGCGCGCGCACACACACACACACACACACACACACACACACACACACACACACACACACACACACACACACACACACACACACACACATATACAGAGTATCCGGGAAAGAGACAAACAACGGAGGAGATTCTTGAGATCATTTTGAGACAAAAATTCTAATATTAAAATGTTGAGACTATAATAATTTTTGAATTATAAGCGTTTAAAATAACGAATTATATATATCATCTAAATTTGGAATGCTGAGGAGCGGCACACAACGCAAAGTACTAAACGCGAAAACTTATCACTTCTTTTGTCAATATTGATTTTAAGATTACATATGTAAATGTATATAAGATTTTATGCTATTGATATTTCTACAAATGCATTGTTCAAATACACTTTAAACATTTATTATTAAAATAATCCGGAGAAACTAGGAACTTACATAAATATTATAAAATCATTAATTATGAACAATTATAATTATTTGTATAACTTTATTAATTACCCTTATGATAATTAATTTACAAAATAAATAATGTATATTTCACGCGTAAAGAAAGTTGTAAAGTTATGCGCAGATATGCAGAACAATTTCCGATAAATCAGCTTTCGCGTTTAGTACTTTTGAGTTATGCCGCTCCTGAGCGTGCCAACTTTAGACAATATGATTCGTTAATTTTAAATACTTATAATTCAAAAGTTATTATAGCCTCAACATTTTGGTATTAGAATTTTCGTCTCAAAATGATCTCAAAAATCTCCCTTTAAGCATCGTTGATTTCTTTCCTGGACACCCTGTATAAATATATATATTCCTTAAGACAGAGAAGGAAAGAGAATATATATTTTTTATATATATTATTTATATATTCTCTTTCCATCCCTCCCTTAAGATAATATCATAACCAGAATGAAAACTGGCGGAGGCACTTCGAATCATTTGAGTACAAACGTAAACATGGAGCAACGTTTAAGAAGTCCGAAGTGTGCAAGATGTCGAAATCACGGTGTAATATCCGGCTTGAAAGGTCACAAAAGATCCTGTGCATGGAAAGATTGTCGATGTCCTTGTTGTCTTCTAGTCGTCGAAAGGCAGCGAGTGATGGCAGCGCAAGTTGCTCTACGTAGACAACAACAAGCGCAAGGCGATCTTTTATCTTCAGCAAGTAAAATATCAGCGGACACTGTAAGTCCTTATTACGTTAAAGCAAAATACAACGAACCTGTGTGCGGTAGAAGAACCAAGAATGTTCAAAGGCATCATTTACATTTCACGCAGACGAGTATTAGCGTAACGCAGGACTTCTACGGTTTAAATACCATACATAATTTACCTGGTGCATGTAAGTATCTGTAAACCCTCCTATCAAGTTTTACCGCGGAAACAAATACATCACAAATACGTCGATAATGCATCGATATATTTAATAATATTTTAAACATGCTACTCTACTCTTCGGATATCGTCCAAATTATTACAACGAAATAAAAATAAATGTCAAATATTTACTTACGAAAAATTTTTGCACATTTCATGTGCATTGCAGTATCAGCCCATCCACGTTTGCTGAGTAATTTATCTGCTCTGGAATGCGATCAAAAACAAGAAGCTGAACCCATACTGAAGATAGAGTCTTTCCATTCTTCATATCCGACAATGGTTCCATGGTTCAATGAGGTAACGCAATCGTACATAGCGAATAGAGAATTGAATGATTTTATTTCTACGAGAGATTTGCGACACTGTCCTACTACAACCAATAAACCTTGTTTAGAAAAAAAAGCGCCAATTTCCTTCAGTGTGGAATCTATTATCGGTATGAAATAATGTTATCTGTATTTTAATTATCTGAGTACCAGTGACTCTATTATCTATTCAGATTCCGATCTGGCAGTTTGACAATTACATAAACATTGTGCAAATTATTTAATAGCAGCAATATCATATATTAATCAGCATTTTAGTATATCATATAATAAAGTGTATCCTCGTTATATATTGACTATATATGTATGTTTAAGAAGAAAGAAATATTAACAATGCTTATGTACAATTTAATATTTTATACACGGCACACACACACGCGCGCGCGCGCGCACGTGTGTATCACAATTCTAGAAAACGTATTGAATATATTTGTAGCAACAACAATGTATACATACATAAAGTCGTCTCTGTTGCATATATGTACCTTCCAATACAGTAAAGCCAAACATTACTATCCTTACACTGTTTTCTGCGATATAATATAATCAAATAAGAAATTACATACGCTACGTAATATCGCGATATATTATACTCTTTAAGGCACGGACGTGATACTATTTATTACTTTCGAGCATTTTACTGCAACGTTTCATATATATATCCATTTCAGAGAAATCAGATAGAGTATTAGAGACGATCTCATACAAAACGCATGGCCATTGCTTCTTTAGGATCTGTAACTTGCGTATAGCATTTATAGTGAGATTGATTAAATTTAGCAAATGTACTTTCCCTTTGTGTCTCCAGATAAGATCTTCCTATAAACAATTGCAATTTATATTGCAATAATATGTATCATCGTTTATACATCACATTTTAGCAAGCGTATAATGTAGCATAAAACATCTTGTTATCAAAAATAGTAATGTTTGTTTTTATTTTTATTACCTGCGTTACATTTCCCTTTTTCCACTGTAACGCCTCCTTGGCAACAACACTTCGAAGTGCCGGGTCACAGTTGAAAAGAAATTGTTTGGCAGTAATTTGTTCCCCGCTTTGTTTTTGCACTTTTTCTAAATGAAGTCTTTGTAATAAAGGTTGTAATAAAGAATCTGGCAGTGAACACATTACTATATCTATAAGACCGGTATATTCCTGATTTGCAAGTTCCATATCTTCAGCTGTAATCTAGAAAAATATTGAATTTTTAATTCAGTATAAGACAAACAATTGATCTGTATTTACCCCCACACAATTCTCCCCAAAAAAGAATCCATCAGAAAGTTAAACGGGCATCCGTTTAATTTATCTTTTTGATACGCGCGCATGTATTTTACATGTTCCATTAAAGTCATTAAATGATTTGTTATGATTTATGTCTGTGACATATTATACCTCCTTGCCATTGATAACTGCAAGTCCCCAATGAGCTAATCGAAAGATAGCATACATTTTCCAATCCTTAGACACAATAGGATTCCCTGCATCTATCTCTATACTGGTCAATCCTTGTATTTCAGCTAAGGCATTTAATTGACCAAGAAGATTGATGTTAGTTTCTTTAAATACAAAATGCTCCGCATGAGGAAATCTATTCTTTAATTTGTTCAAAATTTTTGCCACGTCATTAAATTGTACATAATTAAATTTTACAACGTTGACATCTTGAGCCTTTGATGTATCCCAAGTTCTATCTATAAAGCGTAAAGCACCTTGACCATATATATTCAGGCAGCGACCAATGATTTCTATTAAATAATCCCCACCTAGAAAATTATCCCATTTTACATTTTATTTTACACAAACACGTATGTAGAAGTATATTGTTTGGAAAAAAAGAAAATGAAAATATCTTGATCTACCCTGTTCCCTTTCTTTAGGTGGTACTTGTTGAAGAGGCGGACTTGACGGAGCAAGAGCTCTAAATTTTGCTCTGGCTGTTGCAGCTCTATTACTTTTATAATATACTATTTTCTTTGTTTGAGCACTCTTAATTCTACTTTTATCCTTATCACTCTCGTGAGATTTGTGAGCGTTCTTACTAATCGTCAATGAAACGCTAGAATCACTCAACAATGATTTACTACAACAGTCTACACTAATAATCTTTGAATTCAAAGAACAATATCCAGAAGAACTTATGTCCGATTTTGATTGGTAATCATTCTGATCATCTTGAGCATGAAATATCTTTGTATTTTGGAAGGATCTATTATTTAAGTCTGTATTTTCGTTTTGCACGACATCATGATATTTTAAGGAATTCCTTCGAGTTGCAGCAATCGCTTCCTTATCATGTGCATGGTTTTCATTATCGTTAATATAAAAATTTTCTGCGGTAATTGAAGACACGTCCTTTACTACAGTAAATTCATTACAAACAATAGATTTATCATAATCTATATATGAACCATACATACTAGAAGTAAATAGATGGTATTTTAAACCACTTTTTAAGTTTCCATGATTTTGTGAACTGTCCGTCTCGCTATCCGATATGTTTTCGATGTGTTCACTGAGCATTTTCATCTTACGGTCATTTTCTTTGTTATTCTTAGACAATCTATTCTCGAATTTATTGCTTGTTAAATTATTGACTATTGAACCTAATATAGGTGGAAGTTTAAAGTCTAAAAGATATGATTTAGATGTGTCTTCTAACTTAAACAAATTCTCGCTAGAACTGCTTCTCTTTTTTATATGTATCTTTCTTGCTTCCATATTTTCATTTATCGATGTGAGACTACCAAAACCTTTTTTTTTAGCTTTATCTAAACTTTTTGGATTTATAGCATTAAATTTATTGGAACTTTGTGTGCGTAATAGTATATTAATATTATTGCCAATATTATTGCTCGCCAGTTTATTAGAATTGTCAAGCGAGACTTTGGTTCTGAGAAATTCCCAATTTGTCTTAGCATTTGATATCACTTCCTCTCTACGTACGCTCATACTAACTTGTGCACTAAGATCAAGAAACGTTGAATTGGATTGTTCCTTAGAAAATCTCCAAGCCATCGCTGTTCTTCGAATTTGTTCGCTAATTTGCATTGTTGACAGAAGTTGCAGATTTGGCAAGTACGAAACAAGAAAAGAAATATAATCAGTATTTAAAGTTACTGGATTACCATCTATTGTTATTTCTTTAATTTGCAAGGCTTTTGCAAGGCTACTCATATCTTCAATTCTGAAACGTTAATCAATTTGGCTTATATATACACACGCACACACACATACATATATGTGCACGTTTATTACTGTATTCTACTAAACAATTTATTTAAAAAATAAATTATCAGAGAATATTTGAATACACCTAGCTTTTATAGATTTAAAAGTAATGCATGCACGCACGTGCACAATTTGCAATGCATTAAGCTTATTCATGCAAGTGCGGATGTCTCAAAATGAAACTTATATCTATATAAATGTACATGTAAGCACGTGTAATTAAAGATTGATTAAAGATTTTGTTAGAAGGTAAATAAGAGTTATATGTTGCCAAAATTACTTACTTACGAATATCATTGTTGCTCAAATATAATTTTTGTAATTGTGGTGTTTCATCAAATCCTAGCAATCTTTTTAATTTATTCCGACGTAAATTTAGCTCTTTTAACAAAATTAAACCTTGAAAATCATTGTATCCTATAGTTTTGATATTATTCCCTGCCAAGTTTAATATTTTTAACGAGGATAAATTCTCTAAGCCCATAATTTCTTGGATTTGATTGCCATGCAAATCCAAAACTTCCAATTTCAAAAGTTGTTTTAAACCTTCAATTTTTCTTATCCTATTTTTCCCTAATAAAAGTACTCTTAAATTCTCTAAAAAATCAAAATCGCATACTTTTTCTATTTGATTATCGTACAAATCAAGAAATACAAGTTTCGTCAATTGAGAAAAGTTGGAGCTCTCGATCTTGGTTAGCAGATTATGCTGAAGAGACATTAATCGTAATTTGGACTCTCCGATAACATTAGGAAACATTGTCAAACCTCGTCTATCAAGACATATTCTATCAGGGTTCTTTTCTTGTTCGGTAGGAGTTCTTGATGCCACAATCGTTCTCGTTTCTCCTGTCCATTGTAACATAACCACGTTGCATCCTTCAGCTTCTGCATCTTCAATTTCAAATTGAGCTCCAGTACAACTATCAATATACAAAAGCAATGATTGATAACTGGAATAAAATTAACCCAATTTTGGTATTTGATCTTCGAAAATAATTACTTGAATGAATTATAACAACGCTTTGACAGCTTCGAAGGTACTAGTGCACCAGGCAAAATTGGTAGAGCAGCTGCTATAGTCAAAAATTGATTCTCTTGGGAAACTGTGCTACTTCGAGTAGTCGATTTACAGCTTTTTGTATCAAATAATACTTTTCTTGTCTGCAAAATGTGATCAATAAATAACACACATACACGGTAAATGTTAGAAAAGACCCCGTCCACCTCAAATTTTGATAAAAGTACACTCAATCGATGCGTTTTTGCACGAAATGAAGGAATCTGATAGAAAAAAAATGTCGCTTTGTCCCGCGAACCGAGATATAAATTAAAGTTAACAATTATTCAGGTTAGAAAATCGTTATCCAGATGATATGAGCGCTAGGCTGCGTTCAGAAATTATGCTCAGATAACTTTTGGGTGTACTTTTACTCTATAACATACGTAACGTAAACTATAGTCTAGAATTACCTAGGCGTAATTTTTGAACGGGGCCCAGTGTATACTCGCAGTACAGTATTTCGCAGCTGACATATTTCCTAACCTAAATAATCGTCAAACGCTTAATATCTCGATTCGCGGGGCAGTGACACTTTTTTCTGCCAGATTCCTTCATTTCGTGCAAAAACGCAACGACTGAGTATATTTTTATCAAAATTTAAAATAGACTGGATCTTCTTAACATTTACCTTTATATTAAACAACAAAGATAAAATTTTGTCGAAAAGTTACGTTTATCATTTTAAAAACGTTATAATAACACCAAAAGTGTCGCATATTTAAAATCGCATGACTCACCCTCGTCGAAATATCGTTGCTCAATGGCATTACATGGCATTATATAATCAAACAGAGCATATTTGACCGCACGCGTTTCATATATCTTTGCAATACCTACTTAAAAAATTTTCGGATATTAATCGCGAATTCTATAATTAACTTGAATCAACTCAAGCTACGAGCTTTTTCGAAATTTAATTGGCCCTAGTCTCCTTGAACGAGGTAAACATGGCCAGTCATACCTGGGCCACTGTATATACAGTAGCGCAAATCTCCTAATTTTATGCATGGTATAAAGATAAGGGTATGCTCACGCGCATGATAGTTCCAGACAACCAATCAGAAAAGTCACTCAGTATACGTCACATTAAGCGGCAAATTCAAAATGCATTTGCTTAGTATTCTACATACAGTATTGAATTACAGTATTTTCTAATAAGATTAACTTTAGAAACGTGATTTCTCGCCGCTAAATTCAAATAATTTATTCTAATACGTATTACGAATAATTTTAAAAAATAAAAACGAAATCATCTTCCATTATATAAATTGTGAAAAAATTTATATAAAGGAAGGTGATTTTACACTTTTAGTAACAATTAATACTTTTCTTGAAAAGCAATTCACATTATTTACTGTAGAAATACGCAATTAGCAAAAAACTTTCATTGTGCTCTTTTTAAAAAAAATATATGTATATACATATAATGAAGATTTGTTTATACGAATGTTTATACGAATTCACATATAATAAAAAATTCTAAGAAGAAGTGTATTCTTTCTCAATACTTCTGAAAGCGTTTTAATTCATGTAAAAATTCTGACAAATTTTTACCAGGAGTTTCGTGATATTTTTGTTTGATTGTAAAAAGTTAACCTAACCAGATTAGCTATTTACATTTACACTATCAATTTGTTTATGCGTTAATATGTAAACTAATATTTCAACCTTACCATGCGTTAAATTTACATTTTCCTCGCACACTTCGATCCACTTTGCAGCAATTTCAGGGTCTTTAGGAAACCTGAAATATTTTATTTCCTCTCCTTTCATTTTTACCGTTTTTCGATAATAATTATGGCAGACTTTTATTGCACAAACAGCCATTATTTTTAATAATAAACTCTTGCTTACTTTACCGAACTTTACCGCTTTAACTAATGTCATAAATACGCGGCAGCCCATATTTCATTGGCACTCAGAGTCCGAAAGCTTCCGAGGTCTGTAGGCTCCTTAAGAGTATAAGCCGTTCAAAAATGGATAATAAGCGTGATATTTGGTCATACAATGGCCCGGTTCACATCGCGAAAGAATTGGTACGTGTATTAAATGTGTTTCATGCGTTTACATCGCCATTTGTATCATTTGATACGCGTATCAGTTTAGTACGATACTCCTGCTTGATACGCTCGTACCAAAATAATCCGACAGCATATCGTGCGTACTAAATGTTTATAGTATGAATTTGATACGAATATAGTACCTGATCCTGATACGCGTATCAAGTGCACGATGTAAACCAGGGCAGAAATCGAAGATGGAGGGGGTATTCTGTATCAGAGAGAAACCTGAGAGAGGCCATGGCGGCCTTTTTCGCGTGACAGGCGAAAGAGAATAAAGTACTCGGCACGGGCGTCGATCCGCATAAACGAATCATTTTTCACACTTCAGTGTGAGCAACAAATTCAGATGTTATCATATTTCGATAGTGCATGTTACGAGGAACATTTCGATACCAAATACATACGAACGACAATTTCTCTGAGCAATGTTTAAAGAGAATAAAGTTTTCAGCACGGGCGCCGAACCGCATAAACGAATCATTTTTCACACTTCAGTATGAGCAACAAATTCAGATATTGTCGTATTTCGATAGTGCATGTTACGAGGAACATTTCGATACCAAATACATACGAACGACAACTTCTCTGAGCAATGTTTAAGAGAATAAAGTTCTCTGCACGGGCGCCGATCCGTATAAACAAATCATTTTTCACGCTTCAGAGTGAGCAACAAATTTATACATGTATGTTGTCATATTTCGATGGTGTATATTATGAGGAATATTTTTATAGCGAAAACATGCAACCAATTCTTTTATCAAGATTTAAGATCTTATAATGCACGGCGTGCGGGAACGACTGGGATAAACTAATTGTTTTTCATGTCATAGTTAGCAACAAATTCGAATATTGATAGTATATGATGTGTAGAAAAATTTGGCTACAAATTCATTGAGCAACAAATTCTGTGCATAAATCGTCAGTCTTTCTCTTCCCGAATCATTGACGAATAATGCAATATGTGAAAAACTGGGCGAGAGAGAGAGAGAGAGAGAGAGGGAGGGAGAGAGAGAAAGAATCGCGGAAAGATCTCTGCTGGCTTGGCTCGTGTCTACCGTCGACGCGCCGGCCCGCCGCGAATCTTTCTTCTTTGTAGTGGAACAAGCACCGACGGATTGATAGTCTGTCTTTGTCTGTCTAACGGTTCGATAAACATGGACATAGGGAAGATTCGAACCAAAAAATCATGGACATAGGGAAGATTCGAACCAAAAAGTCGTGGTGTATCGACAGTGTCAAAAATGTGTTACGTAGTTCACATCATTTTATAAAAATGATGTTGGTGCCGTTAACGTACACCCACGGTAATTAATTCTGTCCCTCGGAAATTTTCACAAAATGAAAAGTGACCTCCTTTCTATATTAATTGTCACTATTCATGCACGATAAGGTTCAGTCGTAACGTTAATCGTGCATGGATTGTGACAATTAATATAGAAAGGTGGTCATTTTTTATTTTATGAAATTTTCCGAGGGACAGAATTAATTACCGTGGGTGTACGGCGGCTTCGCCTGTCACGCGAAAAAGGCCGCCATGGCCTCTCTCAGGTTTCTCTCTGTCTGTATAATTACCCTATTAATAAATATAATATCGATGTATAATTATGAGTAACGTGATAATAGTGAAATATAAATGTTTATCATTTATACTTATAAAAATCTACATAATCTTAGAAATATCAATAAGACAATCAAAATAATGTCAATTTGACGTCATATTGACATTATTTTGATTGTTTTGTTCTCCTTGGGATCATAACTTTAGAAACTAGAAACGTTTCTTGCATCTCAATGTTCTAGTTACTTCGAGTCACTAAACTTTCACCTTTCCGCCAGCAAATTTGATGGCGGAAAAATTCACGTGAAAAGTTTCACGTTTCAACGTTTCGCCGAGTTCAATGATCATAAGTTCAAGTGAAAATCTTTCACTTTTCGCCTTTCCGCTCTAGGGGAAAAGTTACATGATCGCTGCCCAGCGGCTCTATTCCTGTTGCGGGATTCCCTAAACGTTTTATCGATGATTGTCGCTATCGTTAACTAACGACAGCCAATAAGAGCCGCGCTTTCTTTTAGGCTTGTCCTGCCATTGGTTGTCGCTAGTTAACGATAGCGACAATCATCGATAAAACGTTTAGAGAATCCCACAACTGAAAAGAAACGTATACGAAAAACTAGGAAAATACTGTAGTATACGTAACGTATACTGTAGTATTTCCCTAGACTTTCGTATACGTTTCTTTTCAAGAATAGAGCCCCAGGCCAATGAAACTTTAACATTAATTCACTTCAATTCTTCTTCCAATGGACACCAAGTTTGATCTATACCGTAGTGGAACCGAATTGAGGGTTTCGGTGGAAACTAGGTCACTCTTAAGGTTGGATTATACTGGCCGTAATCTGTTAACTTATGCTGTAATCTGTAAAAATTGACCAATTATAATCGATTATTCCCCTCTCATTCGACTGTGATTGGTCAATTTTTACAGATTACGGCATAAGTTAACAGTTTACGGCCAGTATAAATCAACCTTTAATGATCCATTGTGCACAATAAACACAGCCATATTGGATTTATGCCAAATGGGGCATTTATGATTGGCTGCATCTGCTCCCCACTACTTTTAGGCTACTGCGCATCCACGGGAACGACTCACCTTGTATATTTCCACCATGGTACTGACAGAGTTGCCCTACTGGATATACTGTGGCCCTGGTTTTCTGAAAATCGTCAGCGGTCTGGGGATTCTGGGGCCATTAAACGCATTATATGTGTCTTGCAATTTGATTCTGCGACGTTCGGTTCGGTGTAGTTCGGTCTTTGGTGCATGGTGCAGTGTCCTGATCGGTCGGAGAATAATTTACGCGAATTCCTGGGCATTTCCGGGACTCTGTGCGACCAGACCTCCTGAATTCTTTCCCACGCCCGATGCCACCGTTGTCTCTTCGATCTCGTTGTCGCACAGCATCTGACACTCGTCGTGCCGAACGTCGACGGTCATCAGGAAGACGGTGTTCACGGTATTCGGCTGTGCCGTGTGCGCGCGCACAGCATTGTCTTGCCGATTCTTCGGTGAGTAGATAAATCGGAATGACCAAGACGTATTGGTCGTCGTGATCGACGACGCGAACGCTAACCTAATCCCAATTGTAAGTGTGAGTGTCAACGGTGAACGATGTCAGTAAATTCGTAAAAGAAAAAAAAATCTTGTTTTCGTTAATCGCAAATTCGAATGCAGCTTTATTTACATATACACCCTCCATTTATTATAAATCTTGAAATAATTTTTTCACTCTTGTGCATGCAACATTGAATAATATTCTGTATGAAATAATAAAAATTCTAAAGACAGTTATGTTTACTATTGTATGATTCGAAGATTATAACACTAAAGAGATGCTATATTTTTACAGAGTAAATAAATGCAAGTTTTTGAGTAATGCAGGGCATGATGCCAGTTAAGACAAAATCACGTGTTACTGAAAATATGGGAGTCACAGGTGGACTGGTGGATGCCCGTGCCAAGCAAGTTTTAAGAGAAGCTGTAGATGCAGTTGTTAATAGCTTTGCAAAACATAGTCAAGGTTATGGCAGAGGTATATTGTAAACACCTCTTTCTTATTGTTATCTTAATTTTATTCAACCATTTATAATTTTCTATAATTTTGTGTGTGTACGTGTGCGTGTGTGCGTGCGTATGTGTGTATGCGTGCGTATGTGTGTGTGTGTGCGTGTGTATGTGTGTGTGCGTGCGTACATGCGTGTGTATGTTCATATGTACGTACGTGCGTGTGTGCGTGCGTGTGTGTGTGTATGCGCGTGCGTGCGTACGTGCGTGCGTGTGTGTGTGTGTGTGTGTGTACGTGTGCGTGTGTGTGTGTGTGTGTGTGTGTGTGTGCGTGTGCGTGTGTGTGTGTGTGTGTGTGTGTGTGTGGTTAGACTAGTCTTTAAAAAAATTTTTTTTGTTCGCCCCCTAAATTGGTTCCATTTGATGAAAAAATAAGCTGTGCTAAACCGGAGGACGGTAGATCCATGGGAAAGGATTTGCTTGAAAAAGACCTCCAAAAAGATTCCATATTCGGTATGAAGATTCACAGCTTCTGTTATAATATCAAGCGAATAAAATTTAAAAAAAGTTTTTTTTAACAAATAAAACTATCGAATTTGATAGGTCTAGAGGCATCCCTTCCCACGGATCTACCGACCTCCGGTTTAGCACAGCTTATTTTTTCATCAAATGGAACCAATTTAGGGGGCGAACAAAAAAAAAGTTTTTTTAAAGACCAGTCTAGTGTATATATATATAATATTTCTTATATGTGTACAGTAAATGTTGTAGAAGCATTGCAAGAATTTTGGCAGATGAAACAATCTAGAGGAACAGAATTGAGAAATGGAGCCTTAGTTATTTATGAATCTGTTCCTGGTGCCAATCCACCTTACGTTTGTTATGTGACACTTCCTGGAGGATCGTGTTTCGGAAGTTTTCAAAATTGTCCTACAAAGGCAGAAGCACGTAGATCAGCTGCAAAAATCGCACTGATGAATTCTGTATTTAATGAACATCCATCGCGAAAGATTACTGATGATTTTATTGAAAAAGCTGTCGCAGAGGCAAGGGCTAGTTTTGCCAAACCTTTAACAACATCCAACGGAGTTGGTAGCCAAGCACAAGTAAATAAAATTATCAGTTTTATTTGTTGTGTGATAGTTAGATGTTTTTAATCATCAGCAGTGATTATGATAATTTTATACCTTTTACTTATTTCAATATTATATGTATACTTGTCAATTTACCATAATTTTATATATTTGATGTTATGCACACTTACTGTGATATTAATCTTTTACTTTGACTTTAAATCACAATTTAAATATCTAATTATTGATGAACATTTCATCATTGACATGATTTTTTTCAATTATTGGACTTCGGGAACAACGAGAAAGGACCCCGCACCAATCTTATGGAAATTGGTTCCCGGTCAAATTCCGTAAAACTCCAGAATATTGTTCTTCTATATGTTCTGATCAAAAGCTTCGATGGGTACGAGGTCTGAAAATTGCTAGTTTCCGAGGTACAGAGTATTAAAGTTTCATTATGTGGCTATATATCCTGTATAAGTAGAGAAGGTTTCTTAAAACCGGACTGCGGCGAGCCGCGGGTTTTCGGACGACGAGGGTCTCAGGCATCGCCGAAGGTGATATTATATAGTATTATATATATTATATATAATATAATATATATATGTAATATATAATATTATATATTATATTATATAGCGTTTCCGCCCGTGATACGTACAGTACTTTTTTTGTCACACATATATCGCGGTCGTAAGCGGTCGTAAGGTTGTCGTAAGCAGTCGTAAGTTGGTTGTAAGCGGTCATAAGCAGGTCGTAATGTGGTCATAAGGTGATCGTAAGCCGGTGGGGCCTTACTACACATATATATACATATATAGATACACGCATATATTCTGGCACATCTTTAAAACATCGAAGGCATTGATTGTTTCTTTGGTAGTCCTTCTCGGGATAGTAGGCAATGTTTTACAGTAGGCGCGTTAAATAATTTTCACAGCGGGCGCATTGATTGTTTCTTTAGCAGTGCTTTTTAGGATAGTTGAGGGACATTTTGTTCTGGGGAGTAGCAGCTGGTTAGACAGCCCGTTTTGGGATTGTTATCTATATATGTGTAGTAAGGCCCCACCGGCTTACGATCACCTTATGACCACCTTACGACCTGCTTACGACCGCTTACGACCAACTTACGACTGCTTACGACAACCTTACGACCGCTTACGACCTACTTACGACAACCTTACGACCGCTTACGACCACCTTACGACTGCTTACGACAACCTTACGACCGCTTACGACCACCTTACGACTGCTTACGACAACCTTACGACCGCTTACGACCGCGATATATGTGTGACAAAAAAAGTACTGTACGTATCACGGGCGGAAACGCTATATAATATAATATTGTATAATATTATATATTACATATATACATTATATTATATATAATATATATAATACTATATAATATCACCTTCGGCGATGCCTGAGACCCTCGTCGTCCGAAAACCCGCGGCTCGCCGCAGTCCGGTTTTAAGAAACCTTCTCTACTTATACAGGATATATAGCCACATAATGAAACTTTAATACTCTGTACCTCGGAAACTAGCAATTTTCAGACCTCGTACCCATCGAAGCTTTTGATCAGAACATATAGAAGAACAATATTCTGGAGTTTTACGGAATTTGACCGGGAACCAATTTCCATAAGATTGGTGCGGGGTCCTTTCTTATTTCAGTTAACCAATTGCTTGATGAGCAATTCCGTGTCTCTGATTAAACATTCATCTGTGCTTAAAAAATCGTCTATAAAGTTATAATTTACTGCGTAATACTTTTATATCTGAAGAGTGCTTAATATAAAGCTGAAACATGTAGTAGGCCTATAATAATGTCAATAAGGTTTCATTATTATTTAATTGCATTATTATTAATTTTAAAATATAGACATACAGTAGCGTCCATAAGTATTTTGACAAACAATGTTTTGCTCATAGATCGCGCTAAGGATTGAGCGGTACAAATTTGTTTATTGCGCTGCTTAGTACTCTACTATCTCTGTCATTATTTAAGTTTATTTTGTACGAAGGTTGATCTGTGTTTTGTGAACAGTTTTCTACAAATTCTGAGACCGTAAGTATTTTGACGAAGATATTTTTGTACATAATAAAGTATAAAATAAAATCTTTTCTGATTTTATTGGTTTTGATGGGCCTTTTTATTTGTTTACTTTAGATGCGATAATGCCCAAGCAAAAGCGATCTATTCCGTAGATCTTAGAAAAGCTGTTATCACAGCTCGTAAAAATGGTCAAAGTCAGTCTCAGATTGCACAAAATTTTGGTCTCTGGAGGCAAATTGTCTGTGTGTGGAATCTTCTGCAAAACAGAAGGGGAATAGTAGTAAATAAACCTTGGTCTGGTGCGCCAAAAAAAGTTGACTCACGAGTAGAAAGAATCATTAGAAGGAAATGTATGGCTGATCCACACATCACAGCAGTAGATATAAAAACCGATCTTCAGCATAATTATAATATAGATATCAATGTAACCACTGTAAAAAGATATTTACAAATGCGTAATTTATTAGGTCATAGACCTAGCAAAAAGCCACTCATTTCTATAGAAGAATAGAATGGCTCAATTTGATTTTACAAGAAAGTGTAAGGATTGGACTAGAAGAATGGGCAAAGGTACTATCAAGCGATAAGAGTAAATTTAATTTAGTATCCTCTGATGGAATTTGATATATTCGATGACCTCCCAAAAAGAGAAATTGTGTTAGATTTCAAGTTCCAACTGTGAAACACGGCGGAGGAAACGTCATGGTATGGGTTGTTTCTGCCCTGATGGGGTCAGTCCACTAGTGCACATAGAAGACATTATGGATCGTTTTGTATACACTGACATTCTTAAGCAATATATGCTTCAATATGCTAAAAACAAAATGGGTCGAGAATAGTTGTTTCAGCAAGATAACGATCCTAAGCACGTTTCTAAACATGTAACTAGCTTTCTTTCAAAGAAAAAAAGTAAAAGTTTTGGATTGGCCCAGCCAAGGGGGGGGAGAGAGAGAGAGAGAGAGAGAGAGAGAGAGAGAGAGAGAGAGAGAGAGAGAGAGAAAGTATCAAAAAAGATTTAAATCCTATAGAGCATTTGTAGGAAGAGCTTAAAAGAAATATTAAGGGATACGAATATTCAAACAAACAAGCTTTTTCCAGATATTTTAAAAGAATGGACAAAAATCTCTCTTACATGCATAATGAAGCTAGTTGACTTAATGCCAGCTTGTGCAGCAGTAATCAAAGCAAATGGATATGCCACTAAATATTGAAAGATAGAACATTAATATAATCCGAAATATAATGCAATGCTTATCACAAATTTTTATATTAAAATTGAATATTTATATATTATCAAAATATACTTATGATCACTTTAAATTTAATTTTGTCGTAAAAGACTGGGTTGTGTGCGTGCGTAAGCAATAAATTGCAATATTTTTGTTTTATGTAATTATAAGAATTTATTTTTATCTGCAAGAAAATTCTTTGGATATATAGCAAAAATAAAACAATATTGCTATTAATATATATAATATATATGCTATATAATGTATATGTTAATAATATACAATATATGCTAAAAATATTAATGTCAAAATACTTATGAACGCTACTGTATTACCTTTTTAATATTTGTTGACTCGTATATGCTCTATATTTATATATTTTTGTATTGTAAATAAAATATGAAAAGTTATTTATTATGTTAAATTAGAAAAAGATGCTTAAGTGAATATGTTTTCAGGAAAGCAGTGATGAGAAAGAAGATCCAAATACAGGTATAGGTGCGTTCCGTTTTATGTTGGAATGTAATCGTGGAAGAACAATGTTGGAATTTCAAGAGTTAATGACAGTCTTTCAATTGCTTCATTGGAATGGCTCTTTAAAAGCCATGAGAGAGAGACAGTGCAGTAGACAGGAAGTAGTCGCACATTACAGTCATCGGGCATTAGACGACGATATGCGTAGCCAAATGGCGTTAGATTGGGTTGCTAGAGAACACGAAAGTGGTGGTGGGATCGTAGCAATGGAATTGGCCTTAGCCGAGCGTGAACTTGAAACTGCGCGATTAGCAGGACGAGAACTTAGATTTCCTAAAGAAAAGAAAGATATACTAATGCTCGCACATGCGCAGGTTTGTCCACAGTGAATTCTAATGTAAACACCATTAAAATAAATGATGTACAAGACTGGTCTTTCGCAAGAAACAAGCTTTGAAAAAAAAATTTTTTTTTTTAAGATCGTTTTGTAAAGACCATTTTGTTTTTTTAGGCCTAACTTTGTGGCAACGAAACATTCGTTCTTTTTATAAAGTATACCTATTTCTTCATAGAGCTTTTTTCTTATAAAGCATTTCTGGTGATAATAGATCTTAATCGGGATACTTTGATTACATAGATTATTATATATACTAAGAGTGTGTGTGAGTGTGTGAATGTGTGTGTGTGTGTACGCACACACATACACACACATATATGTATGTATATGTCATCATTAAGAATCATAAAGATATACTGTATGCACAATATAGGATACGTTCCGAAATTAACTGGCAGTACTAACACCATTGCTTTATCGTTCCAAAAGAATTTCTCGTACTGTCAGTTACTGAAAATTACTATCCATTCTGCATAAATTGACCCTAAAGTATTGCTGATTTCCAGCTGATTTTACTCCATCCCAAGGGGTGAGATAAAAGCAGTAAAAGCAGTACAGAGTGCAAAATCAATATAAGTGTAAAACTTCCTTACTGGAAGTTGTTAAATAAGAAGAGAAAAATTATGGATTCGTATTCGTTAACACCGTATGAGATCGTAGGTACTATCGATAACCATTGATACACGGTGCTTCTATCTCCAGAAGAATTTGAGAAGACGTCAAATATACATATATTGGCATCAGTTAGGACAAAAATAATAAGACATTGTTTTAAGAACTCTCTCTTCAAGAATAATTATTAAATAATACATTTTCAAAGAATTATCAAACTCTTATTAGTATTGACAAATAATGAATTTTTTTTTCTCGTCGAATTCCGAACCGATGCGCACACGGTCGCCCCGATCGAGCAATCTTTCGAAACTGTACTGGATTGCATGAGTACATGCAATCCAGTACAGGTGATGATATATATATATATATATATATCTCATTACACCAGGTTATAATGTGTACATTGCTTTTTCGTTCCGAAATTCAATAAAAGACAGTAAAAACTTAAATTTCGGAACGATAAAAGTTAGTCATTTCAATAATAACAGCGCCGGTACTTCGAGCTAATTTCGGAACATACCCATAGAACTCGCATTTTTACATATCACATTTTACTTGTAGTGTATATATTTCGGGATGCAAGGCTTTGTCTTCCATTATCTATATTTTGTAAGATTTCTGCTTAATCATCAAGAGTACAATTCAATAAGATCGACAGATATAATTTTGCAATATATTTGGGATTGAAAAAGGATATAGATTATGTGTATGTACGTGCACGCAAGTGTGATATATTCATGCTAACAACAAACTATGACTTAACAGCATTTTTAAGATAAAATTTAAAAATAACAATCAAATAGAATAGATATACGTATATACAGGGTGTCCGGAAAATTGAGATCAATATTTCTGGAGTCAAAGGAGAAAAACAGTTATATAAATATAGGTCTGGAAACAAGTTGTTTCCGAATTATAACTACTTTTATGTTAAAAAATTGAAATTTGTATATATTTTTCATAATTGCAATCATAATTTATTTCACATTTCAACATAGATAACTACAAGTTTAATTTTTTTTTTACTTTTTCGATATTTATAAATATGATTACTGCATTATTTTTAGATAAACATAAACAGGTTAAATAGAAATTAAATAAAATGTACAAAATGACCACCTTCAGCACGAATGCAGGCCCTTATTATGCAAACTATAATCTGCAACAGAAAGACCTTGAACTTATTGTATGTGATGGATACATTAAATTTTTTGATAAATGTTCTATATATTTGATTGTGGTACTGTATTTATGAAAAATAAATTTTAATTTTAAATTACATATAAATAATGGCTAAAGACGAGCGAATAATTTGTTATAAATATATAAATAATTTTTAAGGAGAAAAAATGGCTAATGAGAGTCACATCTCAAATACAATAAAATCACATATATTTATGTCTTTAAAAATAAAAACATATATTAATAAAAACGCAAAAAACGTTAGAATATTTTCAGATTAAAAGTAACAAACGAAGAATCATATAAAAAAAAATATTACATGTTTCGGTCTTGTATTTTGGTCCTCCTCAGATACAAACAATTATGACGCAGAAATTCTATGAATATGACAATGACGGTTTTGTTAAAAAATAAAAGAAGTCAAGGAAAAAAATTAAAATATCAAAAAAGTAAGATGAGAAAATGATCAGAGAGACTAAATCACTTGTCAAGCGATTAGATGACCGAATGTGAAGATTTCTTGTTATTCTCTACGTTTTCAAAATAAAGAGATCCATGTCAAAGATTAAAATCGTCAATAATATGGAGTCAGAAAAAATAAAACTTTTTTGATGTCATAAAATAATTATATACGTCAAATATGTAATAGTTCAGTAACACATCATTCTGACAAACATAACTGTAATGTAGTCTCTCTGATCATCTTCCCATCTTACTTTTTTGATATTTTAATTTTTTTTCTTGACTTTATTTTTTAACAAAATCGTCATGTCATACTCATAGAATTTCTGGGTCATAATTGTTTGTATCTGAGGACCAAAATACAAGGCCGAAACATGTAATATTTTTTTTATATGATTCTTCGTTTGTTACTTTTAATCTGAAAATGTTCTAGCGTTTGTTGCGTTTTTATTAATATATGTGTTATTTTTTAAGACATTAATATATGTGACTTTTTTGTATCTGAGATGTGACTCTTATTAGCCTTTTTTTCTCTCCTTAATATATTTTATATATCGAGTCTTTTAATTTTTAATTATATAAATAATTTTAATATTCAAATTACATTGAATTAATAACAAATTGAGAATAAATTTCAATTTTTTAACATAAAAATGGTTATAACTCGCGAACGACTTATTTCTGGACCTATGTTTATATAGCTTTTTTCCCCTCCTTTTTGGCTCTCAAAGTATTGACCTCGATTTTCTGGACACCCTGTATAAACAATATAATACATTTTTATAATTTATAAGAACACTAGAAATATAAATTTTAAACAACTTGCATTACGAGATAAACAGAAACAAACTAATAGTACACACCATGATATTCATTGGTTGAAAGGTTTTTTTATCTAATGTTTTGCAAGTTGGACACTTACTTTTATATCAATATATCACGCTTATTTAAAAATGTACTCGGATGAAGAAATATATAATTTTAATACTCATTCATATTACTGTTATAAATTAGTATGTTTTATATATGCTAATTTGAAAATAAATATATCATTTTCAGTTGAATAGGATACAGTTTATAATTATTTTATAAATAATTTATTATATTATTACATAATGATACATCTTTTGAATGCATTTATTACAACATAATAAAGTGAAACCTGTGTACCCATCCTATTCAGTAGTATTAAGGTTTTGTCGAAACATTATCTGTTTTCTCCATTACTTTTTCTGCAGTTTCTTCTTGCATAGGATGGGCCAATATTTTATCTATAATTCCAAACTCTTTAGCTTGTGTTGGACTCATAAAATTATCTCTCTCCATACTCTTTGCTACAACATGATTTTTATGAAATTTTACATGGTAAAGCCTAGAAATATGATACGGCAGGCATACCTATTTCTTCTAAATTCTGTCCGGTATGTTTTACATATAATTCATTGATCTGTTGTTTCAATTTAAGTATTTCTGTAGCTTGTATCTGAATATCTGTAGCTTGTCCTTGTACACCTCCTGATGGTTGATGTATCATGATTCTAGCATTTGGTAAAGAATGACGCATGCCTTTGGTTCCAGCTGCTAAAAGTAAACTCGCCATAGAACATGCTTGACCCACACACCATGTAGAAATAGGTGGAAGAACATATTGCATAGTGTCATATATTCCGAGTCCTGCTGTTACGCTTCCACCAGGTGAATTAATATATAAGTGAATCGGATTTTTACTGCTTTCTGATTGAAGAAAAAGAAGTTGAGCAATTACAGCAGAAGCTACAACATCTGTGACCTATAAAGATAATTGAATTAATTTTCATAAAATTATAAATTAATATGTAAATATAATAATAAAAATTATGCATTATTGGGCTTACTGGGCCCATAAGACAAATTATCCTTTCTTTCAGAAGACGCGAATAAATATCATATGCACGTTCACCACGTCCACTTTGTTCTACTACAATTGGAACAAAGTTTAAATATCTATTACCTACTTTGTGTCCATAAGCCTGTTAAAGAAAGAAAGCTAATTTAAGTTGTTAATCTTCACAAAGAGATTATTTCAAAAGAACCTTTTTTGCATTGGATACACTTTTATATTTATAAAGTACTCACCGTGATTCGTAGTAAACTGTGTATTTTTTGTAACATTATTACAGAATGGTAATAAACAATAATCATTTATTTAGAAAGGAATGTATTTCGATAAGAGAATTTATGTAATAGGATATAGGGTTAATTACAATATCTCTGAATGAAGACAAATGACTTGTTACGTTATAAAAAATATGGTAATTATGAAGATAAGCTCCGACCTCACCGATTTTAATAAAATTAGGTTCATTCGACGCGTTTTTGCACGAAACGAAAGAATCTGGTAGAAAAAAGTCGCTCTGTCCTATGAACCGAGATATTAAGCGTTAAAGTTGACGATTATTCAGGTTAGGAAATCTGTCATACCCGCATGATGTAAGAAAACAAGCTGTACATACCCATAATATATATATATATATATATATAATGGTTATAAGTACTGCCAACTGAAATGTCTGAAATATGGTCGAGTATCACATATCATTCCATAAAGGAGCCTACAGGCCTATTCTGTACACGCTTACCGACAGTTGTCGGTGTCGTTAAGTCGCGATAGCCAACAAGAATTGCACTTTTCTTCTAGAACAATCGTTGCCATTGGTTATCGCTACTTAACGACACCTAGAGTCCCTATAATAAGGAGTCTGGCCAAGTCATTACTAATTCTATTGGTGTTGCTAAAATATGCGGAACCAATAAGATGCCTCATGTCAGCATGCATGTATGGGTGCGTTCCGAGTCGCGCATGAAGCGCGTAGACTGCATAGAAAGTCGTTCCGAGTTAACTATTGCGCGCTTCGAAAGCGCTTCGAGAGTACTTGAATTCCCCAGATTGTACTAACCGTACTGAATTCTTAGCACTCCACTCAGCGCATTGACTGCTTCTCTTTCGACCTGAGGCAGTTGATGCGTCTGATGCGTTCATGCGGTCTATGCGCATGATTTGTAATTCGGAACGAGCAACGAGTACCGGACAATACAACAATGAACGGACGAATATTTGCGATTTGCGATGGAACAGCGATTACAGCAATTGCATGATTTCCCGGTCTTATTAGAGGATAAAAATAAAGTATTAATTTTATTTTTAAATGAAGAGGATATGGCGAAAGTAAGCCAAGATAAAATTAATGGCATTATTCAACAAAAATTAAAAGGGCGAAGTAAGAGTCAGAAGTAAATTACATTTAAAATAATATTAAAATGTTAACATATTTACAATAGAAATATTACAAAAATTGCTTAACAATTGTTACGCGCAGCATGTTTTTAATTTTAAGTAACGGGCATAATGTTTTTAATTTTAAGCAATTTTTTGTAATATTTCTATTGTAAATATGTTAACATTTTTAAATTATTTTAAATGTAATTTACTTCTGACTTTTACTTCGCCCTTTTAATTTATGTTGAATACTTTCATCAAAATTAATGGCATATTATTTTACCTTGATTTATTTAATGTATAGATTAGACGTTATATTAATTAGGAATTACGCGATCGACGTAATCAATAATTTTTTCAACTCCAATTTGTTTTCCACGTGATTTATCTACTATTAATAGAAAAAATATTTTCTGCGTATCACTTAGAGATATGCCTTCGACTTCATTTTCACTATCGCTCGAGTCGGAACTGTCATCGGAACTTTCATCATTTTTCTTTAAAAGTATTAAAGAAGAAATTACAATTATTAGAAATTGTTTATTGACGTCTTGTATAGCGTCCATCTTGAACTCGCATAGCTCGCACAGGAAACCGGTCCGAATTCATAAGCGCTTCATGCGTGTTATGCGCGCATTGAAAAAACGGAACAATTTCAAAGTGTTGTGCATCAGTATTGCAGTCCACGCGCTTCATGCGCGACTCGGAACGCATCCTATAATTTGTTTTCTATTATATATATATATATACTAGTATATCTCACTTACTTTTTACACAGGCTGTGATCTTTTATCAATATGTATTAAAAAATTAGTTATTTTATTTATTCATAATGATTATATACTGTTTACGATATATTTATAGTATCACATCAGTTGACTACACCTATATCTACGACGCCATGTTTTAGCAAACTAGAAAGATTGGCCAGACTAGAGTCCCTATAATAAGGAGTCTGGCCAATCTTTCTAGTTTGCTAAAACATGGCGTTGTAGATATAGTTGTCGTTAAAAAGTTACAGAATAGGCCTACTGAGGCCCTATTCTTTAACTCGTTAAGCAGTTAACGACATCGTTGCGCAGCTTTTTATACCATAAGATATCTGCGCAACGATGTCGTTAACTGCCTTAACGAGTTACAGAATACAGGGGCTGAGGCCCTATTCTGTAACTCGTTAAGCAGTTAACGACATCGTTGCGCAGCTTTTTATACCATAAGATATCTGCGCAACGATGTCGTTAACTGCCTTAACGAGTTACAGAATACAGGGGCTGGAGAGAAAAGGAAGAAAGATGAACTAGTGCAAAAGTTCGGCAAATAAAGAACAGACCTCTCAAGTGAAACAAAGGTCTAGTTTCCACCGAAGCATTAATTCGCACCTAATGCGGCGTAGAACCAAATTTAACTCGATGGAAATACATATTTGACTCTGCTCATTAAATATAGCCAACCTTTCCATTATTCGTTAAAAGATTAAAAAAATAAGCCGTTCAAAAATGGATAATAAGCGTGATATTTGATCATACAATGAAACTTTAACATTTCTATTGTTCGTTTTGTCTCTCGGGAGCTGTTCGGAGTCGCTCCGAACGAATCCAGCGTAGGGACCCTCAAGTAAGGGATCAGACAACAGCGTGAAAGATGCGGATTGGCTGCCGCCATTAGTGGGATACTTCCGTTGGTTAGGTTAGTATGCTTTTCTTTTAGAGGACACACTCGACACAAACATCATTCTATCTTTATCATTCGTTGAATGTTAAGAAGGATAGAACGACGTTTGTGTCGAATGTGTCATCTAAAAGGAAAGCATACTTAAGTAATTGCTGATTTAGTTGCTCAGTATTGTTTGTTTTAAGATGTAGATATATACGTATGTATGTACGGGGGGGGGTTCGACAATATAGTTTATATATTTTTTAAATCATTGCGAAATGCGATACTGTGAAGTTCCAAATTGCAAAAATTTAAGTAGAAATGGCCATATAATGCGCCATTTCCCGAAATCTCTCACAAGAAGAGAAAAATGGATAATCTATCATAGATACACCTCTGGTCGTGTAGGTTGAACACCTAAAAAGTTTTTATTGTCAGATTTGTTCATTTCGTGCAAAAACGCGTCGAATGAGTGTATTTTTATTAAAATTTGAACTGAACGGGGTATTCTATACCTTTACCATCCATTTATTCTAGCTTGTTTAATACAAGTCTTAATAACAATACATTTGAATACTCCCGCGCATTAACTAAACGTACTTCCGATATCCCTCTAATGACGATTGTTGTCTGATTGGGCGCATTCAGCAGAAAAGAGCGCTACGAGAGCGCTCGCTGTTATTGGTGTATTTTTCTAGATCATCCAATCAGAATTTTAAATCTGGAAGAATATACCAATAACAGCGAGCGCTCTCGTAGCGCTCTTTTCTGCTGAATGCGCCCATTGTCTGATCCCTCACTTGAGGGTCCCTAATCCAGCGTACTTGGATGTGATCCATTTAATGCTGCAAATGCTTCGTTGATCAATCAGAAGAAAGAATTTTACGAATTGATTAATCAGAAAATGTTTCGAGGTATTTACAGGGCTGCGTTCAGAATCATCATCTGAGTGCACCCAGGTGTCGTGTTATCCTTGTTTATCATTCGTGAACAACAAGGATAAAACAACATCTGGGTGCATCCGGACGACGATTCTGAACGCACCCCAGCATTAAATGAATCACATCCAAGTACGCTGGGTTTGTTTGGAGCGACTCCGAGTCCATACGCAAATTCGCAAAATTGTTCCTCTCTCACGATCCGTTCAACTCAATCCGATTACCTCCTGAGACAGGCACCAAAATCCGATTAAGCTAGGGAGTTTTTTGAAATGCACCAACTGAGTACCACTGTTCGATCGGATTGGAAATCCGACCATTTGTCGTAAACACCCTATACCGGCTGCTTTCGATCAAGGCTTTTAGGCGACACACATCGACACTGTGTCGAACGCGGTGCTTTCCAACAACGACACGCCTCGGCACGATTCGACACAGCAGCTTAGGCTGCTTTCCATCAAGGCTTTTAGACGACACACATCGACACAGTGTCGAACGCGGTGCTTTCCAACAACGACACGCCACGACACGATTCGACACAGCAGAAAAGCATAGTTGGACACTCTTGGTTATGGTTGCTAATTTTCGGTTGGCGCTTTAGAATATTTACATTTTAAATATATGTACGATATAAGAAGTACGTTCATAAGTCATCTGGATTATTTTAATGTAAAAAATAATATCTACGCATAAGATTATTATCCAACAAGAGACACAGAAGTGACACGGTGTGACACGGCAATCGTTGCATCCTCGTCGTTCGCTAATGTTAAATAAAGACGAGGTGATTGCTGTGTCGTAGATGGAAAGCAACCACCGTAATGGAACGAATTGAGGGTTTCGGTGGAAACTAGGTCAAATATACGTTTGTTTCATTTTATTGCACCGTGTGCACTAGTTCAGACAGTGCAGGAACAAAAAATAGACCTATGATTGCAGAACGGACCGCATCACACTACGTACGATTGGCCGTATCGTCCTCCTACTCATTATCTGGAGGCGGGACAGCCATTAATTAAAGAAAACACTACGACATTCGATATACGTTGTCCAATATCCAATAGAAGAGTTCGTTTTCCAGAAATTCTGGCTAAGGGTCTGAGCACAAGCACTGCCGTAACATTTTACGACAACTTAAGTTGTAAACGTAAATAACGCACAAGCTTTGACGTATCGGCGTATGACGTGTTTATGCACGCTATCGAAAGATATGTCAATAATGTACATAAACACGTCATACGCCGATACGCCAAAGCTTGTGCGTTATTTACGTCTACAACTTAAGTATGTCGTAAAATATTACGGCAGTGCTTGTGCTCAGACCCTAACAATACTTTGGCTTCAGTTGCCAGTTTGGCATTTGTCGTTGGTGATAAAGTAGTTCAATTTGACCTACTTGGTTTGAGAATGTGATTTAGTTGATCTAGTTTATGTAAAAGATTCGTTCATTTGACCTGTTCGTTCGCGAACTACCTATCTCTACGGCATCTAACCTACATTAAACATTTTCCTAGACCGCGTCAATCTCGATTAGGGACAATTAGGGATCAGCTCGCTTGGACTTATAGGGTTTGTTTTTTGTTCCTGCATTGTTTGAACTAGTGCACACGGTGCAATAAGTTAAAATGAAATAAATGTATATTTGTTTCACTTCAACTTATTGCACTGTGTGTACTATTTCAGACAGTGCAGGAACAAAAAACGGACCCATTGTTACGTATTGTGTCTGGTACTCCGGTAGTGTGTGTCGCGATACGGATACGAATTCTCTGAACGTTTGACATCATGCTGAGATCCTTGCTGCTCTTGTGCTGGGCCACGACAATTATGTCAGGTAATGGATTCCCGATATGTGAGTTCCTAGTTTTGCAACCGCCAATGCAGATAGCCGTGCCGAGGATGTATTAATGTGACCTTGTACAGCGATGTTGGTGATTCTATCATCGTCACCATCGTCATCATCATCGCTGTCATTATCAACCTCGTAGTATTAAAATTATAGAAATGGGTGACAACTAGGAGTTCACGAATAAGATTGTAAACGTTATAAAATTAAAAAAATTTCTCGTGGTATTGCTTTGACGGGAGGGACGAGGCGAACGGAAAATAGAGATCGGGAGTCATGCTCGCGGTCGTACTTCGAAGATTAATTGCGCATTCCAAATTATCAGAAGCGCCATGATGATGAGGCAGATTGGGCGGACCGGACCTCCGTTGAATGTGCAATCACGACAGTGATTCAAGTGCAGCTCCACTTGCTTCGCTTTACTTTGCGTCACGCAGTTGTGTCGTATCGCTGTATTGCGATGATTCAATGTAGACGATTATATGTTTTTAAAACAAAACAGTTGCTCGGTATACGCAGATGATATTGTGCCGTGTTCTGAGAATGATGCAGATCATATGTTATATGCGATTATCGTGTTTAGGAAATCTATGTTGCATACTTATGTGTGTTTCTATCAATATAGATTAACTTTAATTTTGACGCAACTTAGTGCTTCATCTTTTTTTAACTTTTAGAATTAGAAAAAGATGAGTTAGTTAAACCAAGATTAAGATTAAATTGGTAGAAACAAGCATTAATTGGTTACGACAAATCTCTTATCTCTAAATCATTTTGATTTCAACTTGGTGAAATGTGTGATATTGCCACAATGTTTATCTCTGTTGTCTTTTTGGATTTTCTTTCTCTTTATTTAGGAGTTCTTTTTTATATATAATTTGTTCAAGGTAATAGCATGATAATCTAAATGTATAAAGAACCAAATATTTAATTCATACTGAAAACATGAAATATCTAATTAATATATATAGATAATATTTTATGCTTTAAATATATTTATTTGGTTTTTACAAATATTTTTGAACTGATTGGAAGATATATCTTAGTTTTAAGATATAATATTAGTCTGTTTTAGATAGAGACCATTTTCTTTAAGCTCTTTGTCTATAAGCTTTGTTGATGCAAAATTTTAAAAATCAGTATGAATCATCCATTGAATAATATAAAAATATAATATGCACATATAATTTTAACAGTTGATGAGCCAAAGGACCTTATTACCAAAGATACAAGTGTTTCTGTCAATCCAACCAGCCACAACACAGCTGTAAATCTCAAGTCAATGCTTGAACCTAAATCAAATATAGAAACAAATATTCACTTGGTATCTTCGAAAAATGAACATACACTAAATAATTCTATATCAAACACGGTCATTTCATCAACTACAACTTTGACTACGTCAACCACAATTCTGAAGACTACAACACCTTTATCGACTACAATAACTTTGCCAACTACACCCGAATCAACTACAATTTCAACGCCTATATCTACTACAACCACTATTCCTACAGTGCCAACAACTCTGCTTCCTCCACCAAGTACTGGAAAATGGATAGTTCAAGAGAATAATACACTATGTATTGTCATTCAAATGGCTGTGCAATTCAATGTTTCATATACCAACGATAATGTAGTAAGTATATCAAACTAAGTAGTAAGTATATCAAAACTAAGTTTATTATATTGTTAATATAAATATATTTATAATATAAATATGTATATACAAATTGTTATCAAATTTGATAAATATTCAGAAATCAAAAGTAACAAAGTATAAAGAAACAATGGTCTGAATCGGGTGGTAATAAAGTTCTTTTGTACAAAATAATTTAATAGTATACAATGTTAGTATGACAAAAAAGTAAAGAATATAAGAATATGAAAAAATATAATATAGTAAAATTGAACGTTTCGGAACTCACAGGTCCTTCTTCAGCGATTCTTGAAAGATGTTACAGAGCCATAGAGATGAATAATCTTACGGTCAAAGAGACATAGTGTAGTACAATTGTTTTGAAGAATTGATTTTCCTGTTTTTAAGTGAATTGTGTCTAGAGTGAAAAATTCATTGCCGTCAGTATAAATAGTCAAGAGAATTAATCATATGAAAGTAAATATCGAATTATTGTCTATTGTCAATCTTTGTATCACGTCAATTTGTTTATTTATAAGATGATTAAGATTAAATTCTTTATTTATAATAAAATATGCGAAAATAGAATCATGTTTACATATTCGTCCGATACTGTTGTGCTTACATGTTTTGGCTCATTTTTGAGCCTTCTTCAGAGACAATGTAAATTACATAAATAAATTATAAATTAAAAATAACAAAAAGTATCAAATGATATTTAATCATAGTGAGCTCTCCTACAACCGAAAAATAAAATTATTTTATTTCTCGGTTGTGGGGATATCATTTGATACTTTTTGTTATTTTTAATTTATAATTATACATATATATTATAATTTATAATTATAATCTGAAATTACAAGCAATTATTATGCAATTATACGATATTTTTTGAACATTTCTATAATTTGATAAGTTTCTACAGAAGAAATGAGAAATACAGAAAAATATACAAAAATGTAAACATTAAAACAGTATTTTTTATTCTTTTTTTTATAAATGATATTTTTTATTAATTAATTTTACATTGGTAGTTATAAAATTGATGATGGTCCAATAGTAACTAAAAAACATGTTTGCTGTCAAAATTACTTGCTAATAACGAACAAAAAATTTTAGACACTTTGGGTAACCAAAATAAAATTCTGATCTTTAATAGTGGTTATTTTTAATTTATATAAAATTCTGATCATCTATAATACTCATAGATAGTTACTCATAATGAAAAATAATTTTTATCATTGATAATGATGATTTGTAATCAAAAATATAATAATTTCTGACATCAGTAATGGTTATTCGAAACCGAAAACAATTTTAATTACAATATTTATAATGATTTCATCATTGATAATGATTATTTGCAACCAAACAGCTTCAAGATAAATGTAATTGTTATAACTTTTTCTAGTTTAGTTATAACAGTCAGAATCTCTGCAAATAATGTAAAATACATTTATATACATATTGCAAAGTCAGTTACTATATTAATAATTAATCTCATTTTATTTGCAGACAATTTACAAAGTGATGGACGTACCCAGCAATGGTATTGCAATAGGAAAGTGTGGTAAAACTGAACAGAATCTGACATTATCATGGGAATCACAAAATAATACCACCCAGAATAATTTCACGATTCATTTCGTGAAGAACGAAACAGAAAAATATTACTCTCTTCATCACTTTGAGATTTCTTTAGCGGCTGAAGAATTTCCGAATGATAAATCAAGTATTTGTTCATCTCGTGTGAATTAAGTTGCACTTTAATTTTGACTTTTTCTTTAGGAAAGATTTTTATTTTTTTGTTCAGATAAGACGGTGACTGTAATACATATGACACCACAATTCAAAACTGGATTAAGCAACTCTTATAAATGTATCAAGGAACAGCAAATGAATTTAATCTTCAAGGGTAGTAATGTAACTGTAGGGTATCTGAAAGTAACCAATTTACAGTTCCAAGCTTTCCGAAGTGATAATACTACTATTTTTGGCTTAGGTGGGTATTATATCTTATCAGTTGTAATATGATTTATTTTTACGTTGCTTTTGTGGTTATGACACTTAAGTATTCTTTTTATCTTTTCTTTTAGCTAAAGACTGTTCGTTTGATACGCCTGACATCATTCCCATAAGTGTGGGTTGTGCATTGGCGGGCTTAGTGATAATCGTATTGATCGCATACATATTTGGCCGCAGACGAAGTCAAGCTCGCGGTTATCTTAGTATGTGAGTCGAGTTTCGTGAGGTTTTTTTCTTTATTTTTTTTCTATTTTTTTTAATCGTTTAATATTTTTTAATGCTATTCTGTCTTAAAATAGAGTCGATTGTCTTATTGAAAATCTATATAGTTATATTTTGTGTTCTATAGCCACAAAGGCTATGATACATGTTAAGAAGAAAAAAATATAGTTTATACGTTTGTAAAGTATCGCATCCGCGTGCAGCAATATTAGAAAAAAAAAGATACGTATTGCGAGACGGTTTAAAACGATACAGGGTAAGTAATAATTTCGAAGTAACATGCTGTATTCTGCAAGGGCAAATACTCTCTAAATATAAATTTACATAGTTAATCGCGAGATCTGCATCGTATCTATGCTGTTTCATTTTTGACTGGCAGCGAGTATTGTTTGATTTTTCATAAATATTGTAGTACGGAAAGAGAATAAGGAAAATCTGATAAATATGTATAGCATTGAAGTTATGTTAAATATCCATGCGCTAAACTCGCTGTTTCTTATAACGGGATATATTATAATGCAAAATTTCTTATCTTTATTCAAGAATAATTTCCTGGCTTTATCGTGATACAATATATATCTTTATATATTATACTTAATGCATACATCGATATGTTTCTGTTATTTTTTCGTATTCGAATTCTTTTTATTAAAACTACTATGAAGTAATAGCAGTTGTTTATATAGCCCTAAGTATGCGTGCGTGAGTGTATCAGAATAGTATGAAGGAGCACGAGCTTCATCCGTTGATGTTAAAGGTGTGCTTTATTTTGAATAAACATAAATTAAATGCTAAATTAGGCACTGCAAATAGTGCAATTTTAGGTATAAAAAATTATTAACTTATATAGTAAATGGAGTTAAATAAAACATAACATCAAAACAATAGCTCAACTAATATATGTAATATGTAAAATTTTGAAAAAAGTGTGTTTTCTCGTTAAATGTTTATTAAATATATTCCATTTAATGTAATCGATAGTCTTAGTAGAGAATATATTATTGCTTATAAGAGCATTAATGATTTTTAATGCAAAAAACATACTTGTGCTTTATATCGTTGTTTGATTCAAAGATGTGCTTCGACGGTTTTGTATAATATAAGATAAAACACAAAGGTAACAAAATATGGTATTTGTATTTAAAAAAAAGCACAAATGAGATTTCGAAATTTAACTGGAGTATTGTGTACACCGTGCTGCTTCATTAGCACTATATTACAACAAGACTGAACGACGAGTAGTGAAATGAAAGTGGAGGGCTAAAAGTAAAGTTAAACATATTAAAATAATTGAATATAAAACAATATTCAATACTAAAGACCGTTAATGTGAGAACATAACTATTACAAATACAAAGCCTATAACAGTCTAGCTTAGATCTTTTTATCGCTTACATATAAACTACCGCGGTACTATTACGAATTAAATTAAATTAATAATTAATGTGAATATATAAAACACTGTACATAAAACACAGTAGTACTGCTTTTGAATTACGAACATTGCAGTTAGGTGAGATATAAATTATCAATAATAATAAAATGAAATATTTCAAGGATACTCTAGCATTTCTTTCAGATCACGTTCTTTCTATTTACTCCAAATTTTCCAATTTTTCCTATATTTTCTTATTTCTAAGTATAAGTTATTTAAATTACAATAGTTGTACTAATTAGTATTGGAGTAATTTGGACTATACAATTGCTTGATTTAGGTTCCATTAATGTAAGATTAACATACACATACACATTTTAGCCTAATTTATTCTTTATCTTTTCCTAATTAAAAAAATTGGAAACAGATAAATAGTATCCCAGATATAACAAATCCCGCATGTTGCTATTGGTCACGTTCAGCAGACTCAACTGTTGCGGAGCGGATCTGTGAGCGCTCGCTGTTATTGGGTGATCTAAAAGAATATACCAATAGCAGCGAGCGCTCACGGATCCGCTCCGCAACAGTTAAGGGCGACTGTTATCAACGCCGATTAACAATCAACGATTAACCCAATCAGCAGTATAGCCAACAGCAAGACTGCGTATCGTTCTTAACCTTCTTTTCATGATGTAGTACTTGTATTCATACTTCCACCCATATATGTAATACTACTATATGGCTAGAGTCCTAGATATCAGAGAAGCGCAACCGGCTTAAGTCAGTATCGCAAAATTACTAAGAAAAGTATTAAAAATGGCGTCATTTGCAGACGAAATATGAAATCCACCAATCGTCTATTAGTCAGCCATTTTTAATACCACTGAATGAATGTCATGATTGGCTGACAGTCAGCTAATCAGGACGCGGAACATCGGTTGCGCTTCTCTGATATCTAGGACTCTATATATGGCTAGTGCCTATAAGAGGGAGTGAGAGGAAGCGGTCCCAGAACCACGGTGCGGGAATATATATTTCCCTCTCTTTCTAAGAGTACTTTGAGTGTTGTGCGCATGCTTTGGATTGATTGCATCCGCCAATAGGAAAATAGAGTGCGATCAGTGAGATGACGCGAACAGGTTATGCTCGTTATGCTTATTAGATGTGTGCTGTTGTACACAGGCAAAAATGGTCAAGATATGTTATTTATGTGGCAAAAAGCCTAATGCGACTGAAAACATTAGTTTGCATAGGTATGAAATAGGTATTAGTTTGCACTGATTATCATGAAATTTCTGTAAGGGATTGCACTGTATTCTTATATACATAACGGCAATCTTGAAAAAGTTTATTTCATAAAATTAGGATTAATTTATTTATTCCGACTAAACTGACTCTGTTAACTGTAACAAGGTTATACCCTGAAGCGAAATCAATCACTTTTTCCTTCTTCCTTACACATATATGTATATTTATCCTTCTATTTATTATTGATGGAGGGGATGATCCGACGCATGCGCACAACGTTCAAAGTACGCTGAGAAAGAGAGATAAGTATATTCCCGCACCGTGGTTCTGGGACATGGACTTCTCTCTCATCTAGCCATATAGTAGTATTACATATATGCTTCCACCATGCTTGTATCTCTGCGTTCCTACAGTTCCTACTTAACTGTGATGAAAGTAATAATTATTGTCTGTCTATAGAATAGTAATTCACTCAAAAATATGGAATCAAAACGAGCAAAAAATTTTACGGATATTGAAAAAAATGATTTAATAGATAAAATATTCACATA